CATCAATTGAAGAGTTTTAATGGTTAAACCATCTCGTCATAGTTGACTTTACATATTTAGTAGTGATCGTCTCCCCACGACGACGTGACTAGGCAATTCGATAAACAAGTTTTAAATTTCCATTCCATATTCGATAGTGTTTATTAATGTTTAGTATTGAATACTAAACACAACGTGTTTGTGTAGGTTAAACTCGAAGGAGCACCTTTTAATAGTAGAAAGTGAAATGAGTTTTTACCCACACACGTATAAATTAGCAAACTACAAATATGTGAATTGGTGGGGCGAGCCAAGATGACATTATACGAAGCAATTTGACTAGCCCCACGAGAAAGCACGAGCCGACTCACGTGATGGATCGAGTTGAGTCCAAGTCACTTCAAATTTAATGTAATTTATTATGTATTGTGTGGCGTATTTCTATTTGCTAGCGAGCCACCAAAGTTTGAGTAGAGGAACAACCATTCGAGAACCACATATCTCGATGATAACATGATTTCTATGTTAACATGATAATTCGGACTTTCGAGAGACTTACAGCTAACGAGATAAGGCGGTTACATTTATGGGCTGGACCCTACCGATCTTAGTACGTGTACGGTTGAGATTTAGATCCATCTCTCCTCCTCGCCTTTAAATGAAAGTTTATTGATCAAACTAACATATACTCATTCAACATTCAAACGCAGTAAACTCCTCATCACGTACTCATGTAGCTTCTTCTCCTCCTCGCCTATAAATGAAAGGTTATTGATCAAACTTACATATACTCATTCAACATTCAAACGCAGTAAAATCCTCATCACGTTCTCTTGTAAATTCCAGACAAAACAAAATGTCTTGCTGTGGAGTAAACTGCGAAGGGTAAGGCTCTTTTCTTTTGCTATTACGTTTGTTACTTTTCATGGGTAAATGAATTTGATGAATTTTAATGCATTATGATACGATTGAAGGTCCAAGATGCACACCGATTTGAGCTATTCGGAGGCTACCGCCGCTGCCACCATCGAGACAGTAGTCATCGGCGTTGCACCCGAAAAGACGTATGTATATTGATTTGAATTTCACAAATTCTGCTCATCTCATCGACCTCAATTTTAATTTCGTTTTGCAAAGGAATTATGTAATTAATTAATTTACTTGTTTGTTTAAATTGTTCAGATATTTTGAGCGATCCGAGTCTGAGATTGGAGCTGCTGCAACTGAGAATGGGTGCAAGTGCGGCGATAATTGCACTTGCAATCCATGCAATTGCAAATGAAGCACCGGCGCAAAATTAGGATCTGAAGCAGAGATGAAGAAGACAAGTTAGTATTAGTATTGTGTGTGTGTTTAGGTAAATCATCATCATCACTGATAGATGATGATGATAAATATAATAACGTTGTGGTGAGAGTTCATATGATATAGGAACTTTGTGGTTGGTATATATATGGTTTTTGTATAAGTAATTAATAGTGTGATCATATGCTAAATTATATTAATGAAAATCCCCGATCTTCTAATTTTTGTTTCGTCTTCATTTTCTTTTATCTTTCAAGTTTTCTCCTCCTCGCCTATAAATGAAAGTTTATTGATCAAACTTACATATACTCATTCAACATTCAAACGCAGTAAACTCCTCATCACGTTCTCTTGTAGATTCCAGACAAAACAAAATGTCTTGCTGTGGAGTAAACTGCGAAGGGTAAGGTTCTTTTCTTTTGCTATTCCGTTTGTCACTTTTCATGGGTAAATGAATTTGATGAATTTTAATGCATTATGATACGATTGAAGGTCCAAGATGCACACCGATTTGAGCTATTCGGAGGCTACCGCCGCTGCCACCACCGAGACAGTAGTCATCGGCGTTGCACCCGAAAAGACGTATGTATATTGATTTGAATTTCACAAATTCTGCTCATCTCATTGACCTCAATTTTAATTTCTTTTTGCAAAGGAATTATGTAATTAATTAATTTACTTGTTTGTTTAAATTGTTCAGATATTTTGAGCGATCTGAGTCTGAGATTGGAGCTGCTGCAACTGAGAATGGGTGCAAGTGCGGCGATAATTGCACTTGCAATCCATGCAATTGCAAATGAAGCACCGGCGCAAAATTAGGATCTGAAACAGAGATGAAGAAGACAAGTTAGTATTAGTATTGTGTGTGTGTTTAGGTAAATCATCATCATCACTGATAGATGATGATGATAAATATAATAACGTTGTGATGAGAGTTCATATGATATAGGAGCTTTGTGGTTAGTATATATATGGTTTTTGTATAAAGTAATTAATAGTGTGATTATATGCTAAATTATATTAATGAAAAATCCCCTATCGTCTAATTTTTGTTTAGTCTTCATTTTCTTTTTATCTTTCAAGTTTAAAAAAAAAAAAAAAATTCTATTTGAAGAATTGATTTGATGAAATCTGATGAGTGGATTTCTTCTTGTGGAAAAGAATTCTTGAAGATATTTCTTACCATGAACTATTAGAAATTACGAAAATTAATGGTATATATTTTTGTGTGGATAAAATTGTTTGATAGGTATTTATATAAGTAAATAGAAGTAAACGTTGAATAAAAAGTGATTAGGATAATTATATGTGATCTTACATTATATAATACGATTAATTAAATGAATTTCATATTTATAAATTGAATTGGTCCTGTAAATTCAGCAAATGACTTCCTACAAACACATGAAAAAAAAAAAATCCAGTCAGGACAGAGTGTGATTCCCAAATATTTATGGGTTCGCTTTGCATAACTTTGTTTTTATTTCTTTCTTCAATATTTTTCATTCCTTTTTCATTTTACAAAACTTAAGAAACGATATAAAAAAATTAATATGTTTCTCCATCTTATTATCATTGTCTTTTAAAATACCCTTTTTTTTTATCACTCCCTTCTGTTTCGTGGTTTCATTCAAATTTTCTTATAGAAATAACGAATTTTAATTAATTAATTTTTTTATTTGTTTTTATATTTTATATAAAAAAATTAACTTATAATTAAATTCTTATATATTGGTTGGTGGTTGCTAGTTAAACTAGTCTTTTCCCGTGCGATCACAAATTTTTATATTAAGTGATAAACAATTCTAATATGAGAAATATATGCTAATTGATTTTTCAACTCAATTAGATGTAAAACACTTCATAAAATTAACTTGTGAGTGAATGTGTGATTTTAAATAAAAAATAATACATCACATAACTAATTCAAATTTTGAAAAATTTCTCTGAAAATATTTGTTGTTGAATTGGATGGTACATCTATTTGATCGCAACAAAGAATTTTCAATTCCGAACTGTTTGTAACTGCAACATAAAGTTGGTCGTGACTGAATCGTTTAATCATTAAAAAGTAAAACGACAATTCAATACTGATTTCAACTCACAAAATTTGCCACTGACCACCAGTACAATTATAGTTCAAAAATCGTTGANAAAACTTTACTTTCAGAATAACAAACATAAAAAGGGGGAAAATTGGTGTAAACAAACATTTATTTTTTTACTAAAACTATTGCCTATTTTTTTACTAAAACTATTGCCTATTTTTTTCTACCTTTTAAGCTTAGCCAACAAGCTACCATCTATTAACACACCCTAAAATATGGAGACTGAGTTTTCTAACTTTACTTAGTGCCCTAGCCATAAACATCACAAAAAATTTATTCATCTATAAAGTCTTGTTCTAGATTGCACAAATAAATTAAAGATAAATAATCTTTGTTAGATCAAAGAACCAATAACCCAGGATAAAGAAAATGATGTCAACGGAAAAGATGGCGAGGAAAGTAAACTCACGTCTGGAATGGAAATAGACAATAGAATAAGGATTCTGTAAACTCCAGTTAGAATAAGTTAATACCTTGCACAAATCTTCTTCTTCCTTCATCAACTTCATATAGCTTAGCTTCACAGACAAAGCACCATATCAATTCTTCAGTATCATTTGGATTTTGTTTTATTGTTTTTTTTTTTAATATTATGTATCAAATATGACTGATATGCTTTAACTAAATTATAGAATTGAATTTCATGATCCCATAATGACAATATAAGTAATTCTTTGACCAGAAAGAATAAAAATAATAAGAAGAAATGGCTTGTTTGTTTGTGGCTGGTCAATACTGCCGGCCCTCCGCATGCGGAGTTGGTTCCTCCGTAATTAATTGCTGATTTTGGTTCCTCCACGTAAAGTTTATGAACTTTAACATCCCTCATTTCATCCCTATGTAACACCCATTCCTCAACATCCAAAATGGATGCAAAAAGCAATCTGGCAAGTCCCCAGTCACTCCTACAAATAAAAACAAAACCATAAAAAGTTAAAACTAAGCACAATACACCACCTATCATAGGCTCATAGAAAAAACTAAAAATGATAGCTTTATTACAGAGTTCACAGAAATAAATTAGAAAAACAGGTTTGAAATCCAAAACTCATCCTAATTGTACTTGAAATATAACCATTCTATAGTTCACACTTTTCATCACCTTCCAAAGTCCAGCAAATCCTAATTCTTTAAATGCACGAAAATCCTAATTTTCCTCAATTTACTGTTCAAACTGTACAGTATCTTGTAAACTAACAAAATTTAGAATATGTGCCATTCATAAACAGACAACAGGACAATCCGTGCTATCACTTAATTAGGAACGAAAAAGCTATTTTTTTTTTACAAAATTTGGGAAGAATCATCCGTTAATGAAAAATCTCATAAATTTATGAAGAGCAAGCAATCAAAGAGTTCAACTTGATCAACAATCAGGCTCCATAACCGATATACTACATGAATATACCTCAAAAAATAGAGAAAAATCAACCAAATCACTAAACGTGTTAAGACAACTTAAAAAATTAACCTTACTTTTGATAAAGAAATAAAAACAGTAATAACAGAACCAAAATTCTTAAGAAATGAATTAATCTTTCCTAAAAAATTCCTACCTGCCTTCTAATAAGATAATTAATTCCAAAATCCAAGTCACCAATTGGCCATTTACCGAGAGTCTCCGAATATGTGAACCTCAGAGTCTCCAAAAGCGTAGAGATCGTCTCGAGCCATGTTGCAGGCGCCTGAGCTGGACTCCGAGCCAGCCGCTTCTTCGCAGATCTACCCTTCGATTCGAGTACTCACCGCTGACGGAATCTTCCTATGCTGGGGTCGATGACATCCGTCGGCTCAGCACGTAGTACAGAAGCACCACCGCCGTCGCTATTGTCGTCGTCGCCGCCATCAGATCAAAATACAATTACACTGATCACTACAAATACATATTCCGGAATGGTGACAGCTGATAATAATTGCAAAGGGCAAAACTGGAACCCGCCAATTAGAATCTACAGTACAACATGACTTTCTTCTGCAACACATCTAATACACAGTAAAAAAATAAAAAACCAAAAAAATATAAAACGGCTCCTTCGCACGCGGAGGATCTGGTAAATGAATCCATTCCTTGTGCGAACAACTGTAGTCCTGGTCGGAGATTAAAAAATTACAAATAAAAGCCAAATCACAACTACAAAATTGGGCAAAAAGCACAGATCTTGCAAACTAAGTCAAAATTTTGTAAAAAATAACACACAAAAAAAGCTCCACACACAGACGGAGAGACAAAATGAGAGGTTTTGAAAATGAGATAACACTGCGCCACAAAGTTTGGTCAGGAATTTTACGGTGTCAGTTTTGGGAGACAGCCAATAAATGCATAATTTGAATTTTGAATTTGAAAAAAAAAAAACAAAAGAGGGAACACTGTTGCAGCATATTGGGAGCCAGCTCCGTGCAGAACGTGCGAGCTGAGACACCGTGTTCGTCGTGAAATTATTATTATTATTTTTTTCCTTTTTTAAGCTATGAATGAATTCCGCCTAAACAGTTTGCAATAATAAATTCGAAGAATGATTTAGGCAGGATTCTTGGGCAAGATTTTTTTGCAAGGGACCACTTATATAATAATAATAATAATAATAATAATAATAATAATGGTTTAGGCGGGACTCTTGGGCGGGAACGCTGTTGCGGAACTATCCTTCTTTAATATAGTATTAGATTTAATAATTTTCTATATATTAGAACAATCATGCTATAGGTACATATTTATTTGACAGAAAATTTTAACAGAGAGATTTATTTTCTTCATTTTACGGAACGCAAATCACATCAAATCCTCGAACTCACCTTCAAGTTAGAACTCCGAGAGCTAAATTTGTCAAGAGGGGTGCATTCCCCTTGGAATTAATTTTCAACTGAATGAAATGTGGCTTAGGAGTCCTAGGATCAGAAGGAACCAAATGTGTCTTGTCCAAGTTGGAGTTAATTTTCTCTGAGGACTATGAAGTCCTTTTAACTTTCTCACTAACTGGTGACAACTGAATGGAGTTGCGACTATCGATTATTTTCATTTCCTCACCGTTCACTGGTTCATCTACAAAAGGACATAAGATCAAGAATCCTTATATACATATCCGTGATTGTTTCTGAAAGAAAAGTAATTTTACTTCCCAAAATAACAATTCGTGGACATAACATACCAACTAATAACATATCTGATTCAAATGCAGGTGGAGTATATCATACTTTTCGTTCATAGTTACCTGCATAGCAGGTTCTACATAACCTCCATTGTTAAATAAATTTCTGCTGGCTACACATGGAGTCCTTTAGTTGACAAATGGATTGTTTAATAATAACAAACCAAGACATAAGTTCTATATCAGGGTGGTAAGTTAGTTAATCATTACCTCTGTTTCGAATTGGTATGTGTTGCTGGTAACAAACTTTACTTCTGAGTTCAATTTCATTGCCGAGTTCAGAGAACTAGGGGTTCTACCAGTAAATGGAGAACGTAATCCCGCCATCTTTTGAGCACTTTTTGTTTTGCCTTTTGATTCTAGCCAGGCACGAAGCTTAGCCTCCATGTCAACTTTCACCATTGGAGTAGTATTTTTCTGAGCTGATACAAAATTAGAAATGTGGTGAGACCTAACCGCCAAGCTAACTGTGTGAACAGATTCTTGGTATTCCCCAGGGTTCTAATTACAGAGAGAGGTTATGTTTATAAGAATTTCTATGATATTTAACATTTTAGATTCTGTGAGATTCATATATTTAAAAGATCAAATTCCTGCCAAGCAGGAGATCATAAGAGCACGACTTGTCCCTCCCAAGAGAATCCTGCAATATGCGCGTCAATTTGCTTTCTTGTGTAGGTGTTCTCGACATGCCATTGTTTAGTGCATAAATCACATTTGACAACGCAAACAAAGACAGGTTTATCTTGGCACTCTCTTGAAGATGAATTCCATCATTGCAAGTCCTTCTGTTGTCCTCATTTCCTGATCGAGTAAATTACACGAGGAGTCAAAATGTGTAAAATGAAAAAGACTATTGCTGAGATCCATAAATTAGGTATCCGGATAGCTAAAAAAGACCTGCTAAATCAATGAGGTTTAGCTTCCCATTGATCTTATGCCCAACACTATCACGGTAAGGAGAGGAAATTGCAATCACGAGCAACCTGTGGCTCCTACTAGATATATTATTCAGGCTTGTATGTGCAACCTTTTGCCTCTGAAGAGCACAAGAGAATATGTCATGGAATGAAGACATTGAATTGACTTCGACTTGAGCCAATCCCTGTCCATCTTTGTCTTCCCACACCGTGAACTCCTGTTCTTTTGGTTCTAAAAGATCATAACATCTGTCCAGGTAGACTTCATAGTATGATATTGCAACAGACTTCCTGTACTCTCACACAGACAGAATCTTGGACATAGAAAGTGACATTAGGCCATCATTGCCCTGCATAGTTAATTGATTCCGAACACATTATGCACATGTACACCAGTAACCACCAATGAGGTTACATACAAAACAACAACTAAATTCCATTAGTATCATAGAAGTGTTCGGTAAATTTCCTCCCGAGGGTGGAGTATGTATTCATGCCGAAAAAGAAAATAAAGTGTAAACTTATGAAGGGGTACGTGGCTGGCCTCCAGGCTCCAGCCAATGAAAATATAGAGCTAAGCTTTAACCAGTCCATCAAACTGGAAGCTAAAGAAAAAGGAGTACAATTCTATATCTCACGTGTCTCATCATAGTCACCGTCTTCATCGAAATTCATCAAAGTTGGCCCATATCCCATTTTGGTAGATCTAATCCTTCATATCACCGTGTATGTAGCCCAAAGCATCACCGGAATAGTTAATTTCCATTTTTAGTTCAATTTTCAGTAGAAAATAGTAGGAGGCTAGGAGCTTCAAATTTGTGATAAAGAGTGTAAGAAAATTTGCATACCCATCACGTCTCTTAAAGATTGAATGTCTCTGTGCTAACTTGTGGAGAATAGATTAAAATAATAGTGTGTCGAGGGACATTGGAAGCAAAACAGAATGACCTACTTGTTAGATATTTATACAATAAATATAATATGTAAAAGAAATAATTAATTCAGATGAATTGACTCCTTCAAGACTCAAACCCTAACTTACCTAATTTATACAAATTGCACCCTAGGTCCTTGACTTTTACAACACGTTACAAATTAGTCCTTAGTCCACAGAATTGTCAGCGCTAAAAACCTAACACAAAAGATGATGAACAACATTTAAATGGGATTTTCTAAACTGAGCAACAAATTTACTCGTGAACCACAAAGGTGATATCCGGTCTGGATATAGTTAAGTACAGTAGACGACCAATCAATCTTCCATAAGTGGAACTGTAGAAGCATCAGAAAGAAGCTCCCCCTCAAATGAACAGAGCTGAACTTTGGGATCGGGTAAGAGAGCTGGCTTGCAAGCCAGAAAGCCCGTGTCTTCCAGCAGCTTGAGTGTGTAGTGCCTCTGAAAAAGGAAATATTTCAAATGATCAAGATCTTTGAGTTTGAAGAGACTGTAATAGAGATTTCAAAGAATCAAGAGCCTTGTATTCTGAACCGATTATGATTATGAATTGAGCTTGTGCAAACTGAGTTAAACCACACTGCAACCACCTTCAACTTCCTTGCTGAGTTGCTGCTGAGTGTATTCTGAGTTAATAATAGAAACACAAAAGATGGGACTGAAATTTGTTGAAGAAATTTCTTGAGGGAGAAAAAAGCCGGACTCTTATGTTGACTCTGACCTTTGAGGTTGCTGTGCTGGGAGAGATTTTTTGACGAGGTACAAAGGTTCTCCATATGAATTGTGTCAAAAGAACCATTTTTATTTGCCATCCTGAAACAAGAATTAATAAACACACACGAGAAAATAGGAGAAATGTGTCAATTTCCTGGTGGAAGAGAGGGTAAATACAATGAGGATGGGGAGATGATTTTTTTTTTTGTGCCTGTCAAGAAGGGCTGAACAATTGAGACCAATTTTTGTGAAAATCCGTTGCCCTTGTATTGGGTTCCTTATTGTATATATATTGTACAAACCTTTAATCTACAAGGAAAGTAAATAAGTATAATTCCTAAGAATCAGCTTTCCCAAAATATATACAATTATACACAGTAACATCCCCCCTTAAATTGATGCTGGGAGGTCAACCAACAACAATTTGCCAACAAGAAATTGATGTCGTTGTCGAGTCATCGCTTTGGTGAAGACATCAGCCACTTGGAGATCAGAAGATATGTGAGGAAGAGAAATCACTCGACTTTCCAAGTTGTCTCCAATAGAATGACAATCAACTTCAATGTGCTTGGTACGTTCATGGAAAACAGGATTGGTAGCAATCTGAATAGCACTAGTGTTATCAGCATGAAGAGGGGTAGAAGTAGTTTGAGGAAACCCAAGCTCCGCAAGAAGACCACGTAGCCACACAATTTCAGAGCAAGCAGTAGACATGGCACGATACTCAACTTCAGTAGAAGATTTAGAAACACGATCTTGTTTCTTACATTGCCAAGAGATCAATGCATCACCCAAAAACATACACCAACCCGTAGTAGAACGTCATTTAAGAATTCGGGTAGATTTAGAGTTAGCTTATGTATCGTTGGAGTTTAATTTAGGGTCTTCGTTTAAGAATACATCTCAGGTGAATTTTGAAGATTTGGGTAAATCTATTGTCACCATTATCGACGGTGTCATCGTATTCAATTGTTAGAAATAAACCAATTTTTTGCCATAAAATATCACATAGGTACAATTCTGCTGAATTTGTTGATAATTTGAATGCGTTTAAGTGTGTTGTTTGGTGGTCATTAGATCACTTTTGCCCCTAGTTGGGGTAGCAGATGTGGAGAATATTTTCAATTGGAATTGTTTATAGAGAAGTTCGTTTGTGTTTTTCATTGAAGAGTTTAAGTTTATTCCTTGTAGTGGATTTTATTTACATGTGGAGAATTTTTGAAGTTTTGTTTATTGCAGTGGACTTCTTGTCAAGATGAAGATTGTTAGAATTTGGGACCCGAATTTTTTATTGAAAATAATTGAGAATTCTAATTAAAGTGCACATTAATTAGAATCCTATTTGAAATGCAATTGTAAAATTCTATTCAAGTTTTCTTGGCAATTTCTAATTGAAATTCTATTTGGAAGCTCATTGAAAGTAGAAATTTGTGTTGGACTTGAAAAAGAATTTGGAATGATGAAAAACTTCAATGGAAGGATTTGGGTCGGAGACGAGGCGCCCAGACGCCACAGATGTAAATATTGTTGGGAATATTTTCCCTAAGAGAGGAATGGAGAAGAAATCAAGATTAAAACCAACAACATGATGAACAAAACCAAGTCTAAAATAAGATTCAACAATGGAAATAAACCAAGAATAATAATAAACTTATCTTTCATATTGTAGTCTCTTCTTTAGTAGACTTTGATCTTCCACACAAAATCGCAGCAACAAACCACGAACCGAAATCAGGAAATAAATGATGAATAACTCCATAGAAGAATCAAAGGCTCAAACACGATTAATGAATCGCTGTCCTCAAACGATATTTGCCCCCTCTCCTATATAATTTGGTGCTTAAAGGTCTTCCGGCAAATAGTTTGTAGGATTGATCAAGCCTTGTAAAGAATTCAACACTTAAGCACTTGTGGAATTCTCCAAAACTTCAAGAACACAAGGAGGAAGATGAATATGGAGTTGAATAGAAAATATATTTCTAATCACTTTATGGAATGAATATTTGATCTCAATTGGCTTAGTGATTCTATATGTTTTCCAACTACTTTCAATGATCAACAATCACTTATTTATAGCCATCAAACATTGCACTACGAAGTGGTGCCAAAAGGAAGTGAAAAGCCGCCAAAATGAAACCAAAAAACTGTCCCAACGGTAAGTTTTCAACCCTATGCGGTCGCATAGGGTACTCCTATGCGATCGCATAGGTAATCCAAAAACAGGGCATAAGTGCCCTGTAATATGCTATGCGGTCGCATGGATGCGACCGCGTAGGCCAACCATTTTGGCCTTGACTTTCACTTGTCTTCCACTTCATTCCACCTCAGTTTTTTATTGATTGTTTGAACAACATTTTCCAACAAATATTAAGCAATGTCGGCATCGCGGCGCTGGCAGGCATCACCTGTTATGTTCTCTTCGCTATTTTGGTTTCATTTTCCTCTTTGGACTTTGTTTTTGGCATTTTATTTCATCTATAACTCTACTATAAAGGGTTTGGACGTCCCCCATATATAGTTGGTTCTTCATTATAAAAAGGTTAGAAGTTAGAAACATTGTAAATATAATCTTTGTATTCTTTTTCTATATTATAATAAAATTTCAATTCTTAGCAAATTAAATTGTTCTTGTATTCTTATGGTCAATTACTTTGTATTGTGATTTAATCTTTTATTTTTCACAACAAACTATTATTAGGGTATTTCAATTTTCATAACAAGAATTAACAAGTACAGACTTAAGATAACCAAACCTTCATCTTGGGCAACAAAGTCAAGAAAATTTCCCGAGACCAGGGTGGTCAGTAGCCACGTAGCTAACTTACCATGTGGAAGGACTTGTTTTCTTTCTCTAACACCACCTTCCTCTTTCGAGTGCAATCTGAATTTTGGTTCACAGGTGGACTTGTCAATTAGGAAACCAATTATATTATTTATAATGATTTTTGCCCACCCAAATAAAATATTCTGGGTCCGTTGCTGTCTTGCGAGTGCAATCTGAATATTCATTTTTCTTCCCATTAAATCAACATAATCCACCATCTATACTGCTTTCCAACCCATTGCTGCCACTACAATCTATACTTCTTCCCAAACCCTTACCCTATATCCCTCACGCGGTGCTGCTGTTATTTCTGAAGATGAGATTTGGGCCCTTTGCGCGTGTGCTTGAGAATGAAGTAGTAGTGGCTGACTTTTGAACAGTTATAGAGATAATTGTCAAAAGGGCTAAACAATTGAGACCAATTTCTGTGAAAATCCGTTTTCCTTGTATTGGGTTCCTTATTGTATATATATTGTACAAACCTTTAATCTACAAGGAAAGTAAATAAGTATAATTCCTAAGAATCAGCTTTCCCAAAATATATACAATTATATACGGTAACACCCCCCCTCAAATTGATGCTGGGAGGTCAACCAGCAACAATTTGCCAACAAGAAATTGATGTCGTTGTCGAGTCATCGCTTTGGTGAAGACATCAGCCACTTGGAGATCAGAAGATATGTGAGGAAGAGAAATCACTCGACTTTCCAAGTTGTCTCGAATAGAATGACAATCAACTTCAATGTGCTTGGTACGTTCATGGAAAACAGGATTGGTAGCAATCTGAATAGCACTAGTGTTATCAGCATGAAGAGGGGTAGAAGTAGTTTGAGGAAACCCAAGCAGCCACACAATTTCAGAGCAAGCAGTAGACATGGCACGATACTCAGCTTCAGTAGAAGATTTAGAAACACGATCTTGTTTCTTACATCTCCAAGAAATTAAAGCATCGCCTAAAAACATACACCAACCCGTAAGAGATCGACGTGTATCCGGACACCCAGCCCAATCAGCATCACTATAGGCAATGAGTCGAAGAGAAAAGCCAGTAGGAAAGAACAACCCACGAGTAGGTGAACCTCGAAGATAGCGAATGATGCGGCGAACTGCAGCAAGATGGAGATGCCGGGGAGAAGACATAAATTGACTGACCTGATGAACAGCATAGGAGATATCAGGTCTAGTAGTGGTCAAATAGATAAG